TATCTTTAGCATCCTGCAGTGTCTAATTTCGCGAGGGTGTCTTTGGCCTTGGCAGCCCACTCCGGGTGAGATGCACCTCGTTAATGACGAACTCGATGCCCGCTGTTTTTCCCTGCTCACTGGGTCCGCGTCTCCCCACGATTTCCCACGGCTTGCCGCCATCCTTTCGCTTCTTGCTTCCGTCAAAGCATCAGCTGTTCGCGGGGAGGCGACAAGATGGCTATTCTTCGCATTGTCCAACTCAGTCCTCTGCACGTCCGACGACGTTAAAGCATCGCCATCAGGAGACCAACCTTCGCGAGACGAACAATCAAAGCGCGCGCGCCCGACCGAGTCTGATGCAGCCCTACGAACCGCAGCACCTGAACGAACCCATGCGGTTGACCCGGCTGGCGTCTTTTAATGAATGTTTGAGGCACGATCGAATCTGCAAGAAAGGCGTCTCGCATCTGTCACTCGGTTTTTTTTTTTTTTTTTTTTTTTTTTTTTTTTTTTTTTTTTTTTGTGATGAATTGAGACCGCGACCATGAGCGAGAAACCGGGCACCGAAACGCCACCGCCGGGCGAGCCGCCGCACGGCGCCGACAATAACTCAACGGGGAAATCACAGCAGACCATCACATCCTCCGGGCGCGACGCCCTCACCTGGTGCAAGAGCATCTTTTTCGAAGTCGTCCTCGGTCGCAAGACGTTACCGCCATCAAAGAATGGGCGCCATATCCCACTGCAACTGGACCAAGATGCGCCGCTTACGGACGAGCGACGAGGCGGTCATCCCTACGTATCCAATGCCATCCGAACGTCCCGATACACCGTTTACGACTTCATTCCCAAGCAATTGTTCTTCCAGTTCTCCCGCATCGGCAACTTTTACTTCCTCTGCGTTGGTGTACCGCAGACCGTACCAGGGCTATCCACGACCGGAAACTTCACGACTATCCTCCCGCTGTTATTCTTCGTCCTGGTTACTGTAGCGAAGGAAGGATATGACGATTTCAAACGACATCGGCTTGACAAGGTCGAAAATGCGTGCACCGCCAAAGTGCTCAAACACTCGAACCAGCACCACCACGCCAGCGCTGCCAGCTGGTTTTCACGACTCAAGGGCAAGTTGCGGAAGAAAGACCGGGATGAGACATTCGAAGAACAAGATGAACCTTGGGCTCGGACGAAATGGGCCGATATCGAGGTTGGAGACGTAATCAAGCTGGCGCGCGACGATCCCGTCCCGGCGGATATCGTGCTGCTGCATGCAGATGGAGAGAATGGTCTGGCTTACATCGAGACAATGGCCCTCGACGGCGAAACGAACCTGAAGAGCAAACAAGTTTCAACTGCGATTACTGGCTGCGATACTGTCGAGGGAATCACCACTTGCGACGCGGAGTTCGTTGTCGAAGACCCCAACCCGGACCTTTACAAGTTTGATGGAAAGGTTTCCGTCAACGAGAAGTCGCTGCCACTCACGTCGGCCGAAGTAATCTACCGTGGCAGCATTCTGCGCAATACTAGTTGCGCAATCGGCATCGTGATCAACACTGGAGAGGAATGTAAGATCCGCATGAACGCGAACCAGCATCCCAAAGCAAAGAAGCCGGCCCTCGAGACCGTGGCCAATAAGATCGTCGTCACCTTGGCCATATATGTTGTCGTCCTTTCGATCGGATGTTCTATGGGTTACATCATGTGGCAGAGGTCCCAAGAGCGGAGGACGTGGTATCTTCAAGATGCGGAAGTCAAACTTCACGAGATTATCATCGGCTACATCATCCAGTTCAACAACGTTATTCCGCTGGCCTTGTACGTCAGTCTTGAGATTGTCAAAGTCGGCCAGCTACTCATGCTCAACTCCGATATTGACATGTATCACGCCGAAACGGACACGCCAGCTCGATGCAACACAAATACCATCCTCGAGAACCTGGGTCAAGTTGGCTATATATTCACCGACAAGACTGGCACGCTCACTGAAAATGTGATGAAGTTCCGAAAGTTGAGCATCGCGGGCACAGCTTGGCTGCACCAGCCTGATGTCGACCTGGAATGCGAGAATAGCTCCGTCGATACCCTCTCCGAAGTCAAGGATGGACCTTATATTTCGACGCAGTACATCAGACCCGAGGCAATCTCGGACGACTACCTCCAGTCCCCAACGTCGTTTGGCAGGCCTTCGATGGCCCAGTCCCGAGCACCGTCTACAAGGAGGTCTTCCTCACAGTGGAGATCCACAGGCCGCCCCGACCATGTTCAGCCAGACGTAACGACGAAGGACCTATTGGAATTCATTGCCTTGAGGCCGCACTCATTGTTCGCCAGAAGAGCAAAAGATTGCATCCTCGCCATGGCCTTGTGCCACACTTGCCTTCCAGAGATAAGAGATGGCGAAGTAGAGTATCAGTCTTCATCCCCCGACGAGTTGGCTATCGTCCGGGCTGCTCATGAGCTTGGATACACCGTGGTCTCTCGATCCTCCACCAGCGTCACCCTCCGCCTCGCTTCAGAAGCCGACAAGGACTTCACCTTCGACATCTTGGACGTCATCGAGTTCAGCAGCCATCGCAAGCGGATGTCTGTTGTCGTGCGATATCCTGATGGAAGAATCTGTATCATTTGCAAAGGCGCCGATTCCGTCATCCTGCCGAGGCTAAAGATGGCCAACATAGCGATGCAAAAGGCTCAGGATGTGAGAAAGAGCGCAGACCTCGAGCGTGAGCTCCTCCGAAAGAGCGAGCAACATGAGCCAAGGACAAGCATCGGCGGGCGCGCTAGTATGACACTACGTCGAAGCGTTGGTCTGCAGCGCCCTGGGCCTGGTCCAAGTTCAAGACCGACAATGGATCGGAGTGTATCATTTGAGGCCAGCAAGCTTCGCAAATCCGGCGATCTCTTGCGACCTTCGATCAACGTCCGAACAGCGTCTTTTGAAGCATCCCCTACAGCGCCGACCTTGTCCCACCAGACCCCTGAGAAATTCGCGTTTCTCGACGACCCGTCCATTGCGGACGACTCCAGCATTTTCACAAGGTGCTTCAAGCACTTGGACGATTTCGCCACCGAGGGACTCCGCACCCTGCTTTTCGCTCAAAAGTTTATCTCAGATCAGGACTACCGCGCTTGGAAGCAGTTATTTGACGCCGCTGCCACAAGTCTGACTGATCGGCAAGAAAAGATCGAGGCCGCGGCAGAGACCATTGAGCAGTCCTTCAACCTTGTCGGCGCTTCCGCCATCGAAGACAAGCTTCAAGAAGGTGTCCCGGAGACAATCGACAAGCTCCGGCGTGCGAACATCAAGATCTGGATGTTGACGGGTGACAAGCGGGAGACAGCCATCAATATTGCGCATTCCACCCGCATTTGTCAACCAGTGTCCGACCTATACACACTCGACGTCACAAAGGGAGATCTTTCGGGCCAACTGATTGCGCTGTCAGAAGATCTGCACTCAGGCACTATTCACAGCGTCGTGGTCATTGACGGACAAACACTTGCCGCCGTGGAGAAGTCGCCCGAGCTGACGGCGCAGTTCTACTCCGCTGTCCCACTCGTTGACTCCGTCATCTGCTGCCGAGCGTCTCCAGCACAGAAGGCTCTTATGGTCAAGACTGTACGATCGCAGCTTCGCAAGAAGAAGGGCGGCCGTATGGGCTATGGCCTGACGCTTGCCATCGGGGACGGCGCGAACGATTTGGCCATGATTTCTGCCAGTCACGTCGGCGTCGGCATCTCAGGCAAGGAAGGTTTGCAGGCGGCGCGTGTAGCTGACTATGCTATCGCCCAGTTCCGCTTCCTACAGCGACTGCTCTTGGTCCATGGCCGTTGGAACTATGTCCGCACTGCCAAGTTCATTCTTTGCACCTTCTGGAAGGAGATGTTCTTCTATTTGCCGACTGCCTTGTACCAACGCTACAATGGGTACACTGGTACTTCGTTATATGAGATGGCCAGCTTGACTGTCTTCAATACCCTTTTCACCAGTCTGTGCGTCATCTGCATGGGCATCTGGGAGCAAGACCTCAGTGCCGACACGCTTCTCGCCGTCCCGGAGCTATACGTGTACGGCCAGCGAAACATGGGACTAAACCTAGCCAAGTACACCGGATGGATGTTTTCAGCAGCCTGCCAGGGTGTCCTGGCCTGCTGGGGTGTATGGGCGGGATATGTTTGGTTTGCACACTCGAGCGATCAAGGCCTTTTCGCTGTGGGTGATTTGGCATTCACTCTGGGAGTTGTCTGGATCAATTACAAGTGCTTGTAAGTATTCCCAATTCTTATTCGACGACTATAGCTAACAATTTTGCAGCATTCTCGAAACACACCACAAGACCGCCATCGTGATGGGATCCTTCTTCATCACCTTCTCCGGATGGTGGGCATGGAACGCCTTCCTATCAGGCATCTACACCCCATCACCATCACCATACGCCGTCCGCGATGGCTTCTCCAAGATCTTCGGCGCCGACGCTGTATGGTGGTTGACTCTAATCATAATGACCCTGCTCTTCATCCTAATGGAGACCATATTCCGCACCTTGCAGCGGTGTCTCATCCTTGCCGGTCTATGGAGATGGCCATGGGTCCGCAAGGAAGACGACGTTTGCGCTGACGAGTGGCGCTTGGAGTTGTGGCAGGAACTGGAGAGGGATCCTGCTGTCAAGGAGAGATTGAGAAAGCTGGCTCGGGATGAGCCTGAAGATGAGGAGGAGGTCGACGTCGCTGTTTTAGAGGGGGCGGTATAAGTCATTCCTTTGCGCAAGATACCCATCGCTTCATAGAAAACACGTGTTTGTTTTATGCTCGAAGTCTTTGTTGTCATGCTCTACACGCTTAGGCTTCTGCCTCTGCCACCAAAAGGAAAGCTCTCCAACTCCAATCCCAGGACGACAAGATACAACTTGACCAGAACAACAGTAGCGTAACATCTTATTCTCCGCGCTGCGCCCTCAACAGCTCCGCCTCATCAGTCACCCGTCCCTCTTCGAACCATCTCTTCTCCATCTCGCTCAGCCTGGCCGGCGGCGCCACGCCATTGACCCTCCACAGCTCCCTCCTCGACTCGTAGACGCCCGACTCCCAGGTGATGCCTTGGCCTTGAACACGGGGCGCACGACGTCGTCAAATGCGGCGAGAAACGCCTGCTCCTTCTCGGGCTTGTGGAAGACGCCGGCGATGTGGTAGATTGCGACGGGGGCGACGTCCGTCGACGGGGCGCCGGCGGTGTAGACGCTGTCCGCGGCGAACTCGACGAAGTGGGCGTGGCAGTAGAAGGCGGGCAGGCCGGCGCTGGTGTAGATTGCGGCCATGCCCTCGGCGATGCGCTGCTTCTCTGCGGCGGTGAGAAGGCGATGGGGCGTGTTGAATACCCACTTTAGCATGCTGGGATGTTGTGTGGGATGGGCAAATTCGAGGGAACTGCTAATATGTCTTTCTTCTTCTTTTTTCTTGGGAATTTCTTTTTGTCTGATGATGTTTGTAGAAAGTTGTTCCAATGGTTATAATCGCTGGAACTCGATTTACTTGTAGACTTGACTCAGACGCGACGAGCTGGCATTTGATCGCAGGGCGCGTAGTAGGACGCGAAAGTGTAAATATGTTGAGAGGTGTTGAGATGTTGATCTCAGTGATATGATTACTGATCGCTACCATCTTAGTATTTTCAATTCCCTCACACTTTCTGTGAAGGACGGCGAAGAAATGTCCATTATGATATTCCGACTAGGTGCAAGAGTGACAAGTCATGTGGGGTGACAGTCCCAACGGGGCCGTAGTTGAAGAGCTGAAGCTGTGATGCCACCTCCAGCCGGAAAGCCTGCCTCAGCCGGAACAGCGATTATGATTTCCGTATTATCCACACACCATCATTTCACAGGACTTGCTGATGAGACGTTGCTGCCTTTGGGGACCTGGAATCACCATATGATAGGTAGCAACTGATAGGCCATATCAGCCATGAAGTAATATCCACGCCCTATGTTCACTCTTGCCTTCTTCACCCTGTGAGTCATGGCCGAGATCATGCTATGAAGCGTCAAAATACTCAATTCATATCTCACACAGTAATTCCCCTCTCAAGCAAACAGTCTACCCTGCTATCCCTCAAGGCAAAAAAGCCCTCAAACACCAGGACAAGATAACCCTCCATCCTCACAAACGCTCCAAACGTCGAAGCTACCGTACTTGCCATCAAAACACCCCGTCTTCCCGTCAATCTCGGTAGCCTCGTCCAGCACGGCGATGATCGTGTCCGGGTCGCAGTCATCGCTGCTGAAGAAGACGGCCACGAGCGCCGCGTCGCCATCGCCGGCCTTGACGATCATGGACTGGTCCTTGTGGTTGCCGTCGACCGTGCACCCCGTGCCGAGGTGGAAATAGTGCCCGTCGACGAGGAAGTCGCCCGGCGCGCCGCGGCTGCATTTGGATGGGTCGCTGGGCGGGTTGCCCCAGCTTTGGTAGAAGGTGAAGGCGACTGCGGAGTTGGCGAGGCCGAAAATGGCGAGGTGGAAGAGGTGGTTGGAGAGCATCGTGGGAGTGTTAAAGGTTGTGACCGCTGAAGGGCAATTTGGGAGGGTAATTCCAGTCAATTAAATGTACTAGAACAGTGTGAATCACGGTGAAAAGGATGCGATGAATCGATTGAACTGTGGAAGAAGTAGCCTGCCTGCAGAGAACAGAGATCGGAATGGAGGTTCTCCAGCGACACTATATATTGCCAGCCAGTGGAAATTTCAGAAGAGATCTAGAGTCAGCTACTGATCATGCGCATATGGCAGGCCTCACTGGAAGTCAGCCCCAGCTGCAAGTCCGAGTATTACGATCGCTGCCCACCTGGATCATAGTACTGTGTTATTTTAAGAAATGTTCTTCCAAACCGTTCTGGAGGAAAAGATTTGATGTCATCAACCGCCCGCTGGTGAACCAGCCGGGTGAAACATTTCAGTATGGGACATCAATGGACTGGGCGGGCATTATTGTCGAGCGTGCTACAGGAGTGTCTCTAGAAACGTACTTTCAGGAGAACATTTTCGGACCTCTCAACATTACCAGCATCACGTTTCAACCTTCGGAAGAGTCCAAATCACGATTGGCTCATATGCATCAGAGAGACGTTGACGGTGGATTTTACGAGATAGATCACATCTACAGAAAGCTCCTGGTTGTGAAAACGCAGGAGGAAAAGGACAACCTACTTTGCGCTGGGGGGCATGGATGCTTTGGCAAGCCAGCAGAGTTCTCCCGTAAGTCTCTACTTTCAAAATCGTCATGAGAATAGGATATTTTTGGGGAACTTCGTGTTGACTTTGGCCCAGGTATCATCGCACTGCTCCTGAATGATGGCCAAGATGCTAGGACAAAGGCGCAACTGCTGAGGCCCGAAACAATAGACGGTATGCGACCTGAATTATTTCTTAGCCCTTTGGATAATCTAAGTTCTGACGTCGCTTAGAAATGTTTACCGATCAGATTTCTGACAAGCCTCGCTATTCTAACAAATTCATCCCGGTGTCAAAGCCCACTCTGGCAAGGCCCACCCCGTTGACTGCAATTCCAGAGGATCATACTGAAGGCTGGGGTCTTTCCTTCTCAATCAGCCACCACCCGTCATCGACAGGAAGGCCTGCAGGAGCCGCCTCCTGGGAGGGCCTCGCAAATCTCTATTGGTTTGCAGACCGCAAGAACAAGCTTGGCGGAATTATTGCAACACAGATTGCACCTTACGGGGGTAAGCACGAGCAGTACCCAACGTTTTGGTCTTGCCATCACCAAAACGCAGCGCTAACCAGAGTGATTGTCACCAGATCCTCATGTTCTTGAATGTTCAGACAAGGTCGAAGCGGAGATTTACAAGATTATTGCTTCCAGAACTACTGAGTGAAGCCGTAAGATACCTGGCTAGGGCCGGCAATCGGTAACGCCTGTCATTGTCAAAACCTTTCAAGTAAGACTGTTTATAGGCAAAAACATCGTTTGTCAATCAAATCAAATTTTCATGGAAAGCAATTTTTAAAGCATCAATATCAAAATGCGGGGAGTTGCCACCTACCGGCTCTTGCGGCTTGCTTCGGGCTGGTGTGATTCGATCTTCAGAGTTCCGACCCTGTCTTTTCCATGCAACCTAAGTCAAAAAAGGCAATTCAGTGGCCTAGATAGCTTGATCTCTTCAAAAGACGACATCATCCCGCACCCACACTTGAGCAGTTCTTTCAGACTCAAAACTGCACTTCAAATATTCGAGACTTGAAAATCATGCACTCTGCTGCTCATGCTCGTGTTCTCGCGTCAGTCATGGGTTCGTCAACTGTTGCGTCGAGCCCTGCCAAAGAGCGTCAACTTAGGTTCGATGAGCTAGTGAATGCTCTTCTATCCGATCCGCCGTCAAAGTTCGACCCGTTTCGTATTTACCGCAGTCACTATACGTCCAACGATATTGACATAGGGGTTGATATACTTCTTCCAAATACCATGAAGCCCCAAGGCCCAAGGCCTGTGATTGTGCGAATACACGGAGGGTTTCTTGTATGTTCAGACACTCACCTTAGGCTCGAATTGTACCGGGAATTTCGATGAAGACTGATCGTCTTATAGGTCACCGGCTCGAGTCTTTTCCCCGCTTGGTTCACCAAGTGGATTTTGGACTACGCTGAACTTCACGATGCCGTGATTATCAGTCCCAACTATCGTTTGCTCCCAGAAGCCAAAGGAGTTGAAATATTGCAAGACCTGAAAAACTTTTGGTCATGGCTAAGCAACGGTGTCGGGCAATCGTTAGCATGCGTCGGGTTGAGCAACATCAAGCTTGATCTTGATCAATTGCTGGTTGTGGGCGAAAGCGCCGGTGAGTCGAGGCCTCTTGCCCAGAAACAGCGACTGAACTGACATCATTGTCTTTCTGCCGTTATCAGGGGGGTATCTTGCCCTGCAATCGGTTCTCCTCGGTTTCGCAAGTCCCCGTGGTATGATCCTGGCGTATCCCATGATTGATCTTGAATCGCCGCATTACACCAGGAGATTTAGCAAACGAATCGTCGGCGTTCCAAACTTCCCGGATGAGGTCATTCACGAGTTTCGGACTTCTCCATTGTCTGGGAGCAAGAAGCTTTAGACAGCAGCTGATCCCCCAACGCGACTCGACTTGGCCATGGCAATTGTGCAAAATGGAAGGTTTCTTGAGTTCTTGGGTACAGAAGATGAATTGTTTCCTCTCCGACTGTTAACCAGGAAGGGACGCAGAAGCCACCCCATCCTCCCGCAATGCTTCATCTTGCATGCTGAAGAGGACTCCGCAGTACCAGTTGAGGGAACAAGGAAATTTGTGGCACGTCTGAAGACAGTAGACCCATCATCTCGTGTGCATGTGGCGATTCGGCCTGGGGATCACGGTTTTGACTCAACCGCAAAACTTGGTGATGAATGGTTGTCAAAGGGCCTTCATGATGTGACGGACGCTTGGCTCAACTAGGTACAACTAGGTACCTTGGAGGCAAATGGTCCTTTGCCTTCAAGCAGAAATATCGCTACAATGCAATCGCAAACTAAAATTTCCTGTACTGCATTATTATCATTACGCAACGTCTAACAAGTAGTGGTTTTGGCCTTTACAATGGAGAGCCCCGCACGTTGAGATGCATACGGGAATCGCGCCCAAGACGTGGCAAAATCGCGCTTTCTCCGTATTAGGAAATATCTACACTGATTAGAAGACCCTAGTTGACTTGGCACTAGGTGAGATTCAGCCTCAAGGATCCGGATGGAGGCCTTCACAGCGAGACTGCCTCTCTATTTCGGGAAATATTTGCTGTGTTGCACGGCTGTGGGGAACGGGCCTCCGCATCCAGCAGACTGCCTCGCGATGCGTCACTACAGCCACAGTCATAACCTGGGCCATGATAGTTAAGAGATCACAGAATCTGCGTTCGATTAGATCTCAAGGTCAACAGACGAAACTCAAGAACAATAAGCAATCATCAATCATCAACTACCAATTATCTTGTTTTTCGTTTTCATCGTTTATCTCGACCTCTCTTCACGAGCCCGCTGCCGCTTCATCTTCCATTCTCTTTCGCCCTCTGCCACAGGTTGAACGACGATAATCCAAAATAGCCACGATGGACAAGGTTTTTACTGCATACCAGGATCGACAAGCAGTCCTGGAGAAGTCCACCAATCCGTTTGCCAAAGGCATCGCATGGGTAGAGGGACAACTCGTTCCACTCGCAGAAGCACGAATTCCGCTTATGGATCAAGGCTTTATGCACAGCAACTTGACCTACGACGTTCCCTCTGTTTGGGATGGTCGCTTCTTCCGCCTAGACGACCACCTCAGCCGTTTGGAGGCCAGCTGCACCAAGTTGCGTCTCCGACTCCCTCTGCCCCGCGAGGAGGTCAAGAAGATCCTGGTTGACATGGTAGCTAAGAGTGGCATTCGCGACGCCTTTGTGGAGCTCATTGTGACCCGTGGCCTGAAAGGTGTCCGAGGCGCGAAGCCGGAGGATCTACTGAACAACAATCTGTACATGTTCATTCAGCCTTACGTTTGGTGCATGGATCCTGAAGACCAGCCTCACGGGGGCTCCGCAGTTATCGCACGAACTGTCCGCAGGGTTCCTCCAGGGGCCATCGATCCCACCGTCAAAAACCTCCAGTGGGGTGACTTGGTGCGAGGTCTCTTCGAGGCTTCTGACCGAGGCGCTACCTATCCTTTCTTGACTGACGGCGACTCGAACCTTACGGAAGGCTCTGGGTTTAACATCTGCCTCATCAAGGACGGCACTCTTTTCACACCTGATCGTGGCGTCCTTGAGGGTGTGACGAGAAAGAGCGTTCTTGAAGTTGCTGAGGCAAACAAGATTCCTATCCGTAAGGAGGTTGTTCCTGTCGAACTGGCCTACCAGGCGGATGAAATACTGATGTGTACGACGGCTGGGGGCATCATGCCAATTACCAAACTTGACGGCCAGCCCGTCAATGGAACGGGTAAAGTTGGGCCTCTGACGAAGAAGATCTGGGATGGATATTGGGCGCTGCATTACAGCCCTACGCACAGCTTTGAGATAGACTACAGTACTGCTTAGTTTCAATTGGAAGATGACGACTCATTTCCAAAACATTAAACATGTTGCTTTCCATTGAGTTCCTGCCAGAGTGCGTTGGCAACGACATCCATCGCGGGATCATACACGTGAAGTTCACGCATGTATCAGCCAGGAATACAGTAGGTAGTTAGAGACCCGAAGCAAGAAGCAGGAATACTGCAATTTACCACATTGGACGTTTTAACCCGTTCTTGTATATTCGTAAAATCCTGGAATGCTGCCACGTCCTCTTTTGCAGAAGCGACTTTCCGTCTTACATAATGAAAGTGGTAGGTAGGGCCGAAGAGAAAGCACAACCAGGACACCACGACTATAGACGTATTTTGAGCGGACCCTTTACTCATTACGCGTAACAAATGAACTCTAGGCTGCTGCGTATCTATGAACACCCTCACAGGCGTGACTTTAAGCCTGCATGCTGTATATCTTTCAAAGCGGTCGCAGCAGCCTCGACTGCCTCCAACGCCATGCCGTATCCAGCCTGAAACCCAGTACCTCCAGCTCCGTAATTATGTACGATCAAACCCTGCCTCCCACCTACGTCAACCTCAACACCCTCGACGCGAGCACCGCCTTCTCGTGAGGGCCTTAGCCCAGCAACAATCGCAAGTACTTCAGAATCCTTCTCACGAAGCTCGCTACTCAACTTGTGGGTCCGATCCATAATGGAGATGGTCTCATGATAGTATGTAGCACCGTCACTGTGTCATCAAGGGTGAGCTCACGCCAACATGTAGGTTCTCAACGATGAGCTCGCCAGATAATCAACTTACCCACTTCCCTTCTGCATGTATCCTCCCAATATGGCATTCCCGTTTGATCCAGGCCGTGGGATCACGTAGGTCTCGTAGTTCTTGCCGTGCCTCATTACATTTGTTCGGACTTGCGGTGCTCTGACCAACACAACCTGGCCTCTGGTTGGGTAGCAGCGTTGGTCTTCGACGCCGGATAGTGTCTTGGCTGCGTTACCAGTGCAGTTGAACACGACCTTTGTGTCGAGGCTGATGAAGCCGGATTGAATATCGGGAACCTTTTGCCGGATGAAACGTACACCATAACGGTCCTTCAGCGTCCGGTAAAGGTAGAGGAGATATGCAGGCGCATTCACAGTCAAAGTGGTGAAAGACACAGCAAATTTGACGCCTTCTGGAAGTTCCTCTTGAGGCAAAACTTTGAACTGCCATGACCGTGTCAGCGCTTTGGATTTATCACAACAGTGTTTGTGAAAGTTCTTACATCCTCAAGGTAGTCAGACATGTGCTTTATCTTTTCGTGGGGAATCTCTTCATCCCACATTTCGATAGATGGAGTTCTCTCCACGAACGCCTTTTCTTCTGTCTCAGATGCCAGCTTGCAGAGATGGGAGTAACCGACGCGATCCCATCTCAACGCGTTGGCATCGCTGCCGGAGATGGCTGAAAAGTTGCAGCCGGCCCTGATTGAGTCAGCCATGTCTTTGTCTGGATCACTTGACTGGTTCAATGAGTTTGCATCGTCCTAATCAGGGGGATGTGTAAGTGACCGCAGTGTCTCCAGGCAGGTATTCCGCTACGACCGTAGTAGATTTACCGAGGCCTGCCTTTGCCAACACCAGTGCAACGTCCAGGCCGATGATGCCTGCGCTATTTGATAAAGTCAGCGACTCTTTACGTTAACGTCATGTGCTATTTCTCACTTACCCAACAATTACAATGCTTTCAGCGGGCATCGTAACGCTTAGGGAATATCAATCGGGCCAGAGTGAGTCTGACAGACGAGAATGAGCTTGGGTTCAAGAGCTTGATGAAAAGACTTTCATGAAGAGACGTGGTCGCTCTACTTCAGCTCCTATGACTGGGTACAAATTCATAGATTCAATATTTTCGAAGCGTTCTTCTTCGCATGTTCGTTTGTTGGTGCACGCTTCTTGGGGATATTTCCTAAAACGGAGAAATTCCCATGCTTCCTAAGGCAGACGGGTCCCGAGCGTTCACTGTATTCAAAATTAAAGCCTGTTCTGGAACTACATCAAAAATATAATGTGTATGCAGAAAGATGTATGAAAATCTTCTAATTGAAGAGATCTTCTGGGTTTACTATCACGCGACATGCGACGGGGAATGGAGACGCCTAGCCTCCGACTGGGTATAAAATACAATCGTGGCCCGCTATCGCCATCAATCCAGCAACGAGATGACCGATTTTGTGATCCCCGATTCCTTCTTATCTACCTTACTCAGATGATCAAAGACCAAAACTCTTTTCTCTCAAAGTTGGCGACGATAGATTTGGAAGATAAGATTCCTCAGGATAGCAGAAGCTTGACATAAGCAGAGGACTCGCTCACTCGGCTTCTTGACAACAGCGCCATCCCGACCCGATCCCTGCACCCGATCCCTGCTCGGCTTCTCGGCCCCACATGAGGAGGGGCTGCTCCGGATCGAATCGCTACTTTCGGGTAAGACAGACGGTGTGATCTTCGCGTTCAAGATGTGACAACAATCTTCGTTATCTACGTAGCCTTCGTTGAGATAGGAATGGGAGGCGGAGACTAATAGGCCACCGACTCCATGACGTTTTGATCAAACAGATATGCATGTGACAGAGCCCGCCGTGCCTGCAATGTGAAAATTTCCTCATCAAAAAGCCTATCCGCGAGGTCAATGACAGATCTCCGTGTCCCAGGCAAACCCGTTCGAGTCGCTGAGGTATCTTTGATGGCCGTTCATCTGGCGCACACAAGCCTGGATTCTAGTCAGAATATGCGAGTGTTATGTCTTTAAATAGTTAGGAGTAGTTTCCATGGACATACCACATTAGCTAAAGGTGTGTCATAGCGTCCTTCCCCGGATTCTTGCCGTCGTGGGGTCACGAGCTTGTCCGGCACGATTTTGTGTGATTTCGCGGGGTACACGACTCTGTCTCCACTTATCATCCACCCGCTATCAGCGTCTCTGCGCTTCATCGATCGGTAGCATCAATCTTTGATATCGGCCGCGTGCGTTGTTATCAATAATATTTGCTACGAATCCATTTCTACTACCTCATTCCTCGGCGTCAAACAAAGAGCCATTGTCCTGTTTGCTGTCCAACAGGCCTCGTTTTGACCGTGCTTCGAAAATGGACGGTGGTAGAAGGAAGATCAGACGGACTACGAACGCGTAAGACTCACCGCAATCATCCGCAAATCCAGATCTCACATGTATACTTTCCAGATGCATACCGTGTCGGACGAGCAAAATCAAGTGCACTGGTGATGAGCCATGTGCAAACTGTAGACGACGCGTGGTCAGATGCAAGTATGAGGATTCAGGCACGAAGGCATCTTCTTCAGAGAGATCGATTCACATCAGAAGTGAAGATGATAGAGAAAGACGAGCCTCGGACGTGTGTTCGACCGGAAGCAAGAGATCGTGTGATGCTGCTTTCGGTTCCGAGAACGATGACGACGGTGAGTGAATTACCAAGTTAAAGCACGCTCATTCCTTTTCTGACATATTTCCAGTTGCAGTATCGTCACCAAGAAGGGGCTCAAGAAGAGTACAATCTAGCAATGAAACACATTGTGTATACACAAGTCCCTTCACGCTGCCGTCCACGACGATCCGAAACACTCATCAGAACAAAAGAAACTGGAGTAATTCCTCTTTGTTCCAGTCGTATTGCACCTGAGATTAGCTAATGAGGTCTTGAAAGTCTGGCTGGCACCGTCTTCAACATGGTCCTTTACCGCCCGACTTACCCTGATGATGGCGGAGAACCTCCAGCTTGAAACTCCCTTCAGTGCGCCGAGTTTCCTCAACGACGAAATATATACTCTAAAGTGGAGTGCTGCAGGCGCAGATGAGCCACCCGACATCAAAGGTCTTCCTTCCATCGAGCATGCTCTTTATCTATATAACACAGTGAAATTTCACCTTGGCCAGAACTATCAATTTCTCGATGACGAGGTATTCGTCCAAAATGTCAACGAGTTCTACTATGGTAATCCTGTCCAAAAAGTAGCCGAGTCGCGGCTGTGGTTTGTTCAGTTTTTGTTAGTCCTGTCCTTTGGGCAAGCCTTTCTTTCGAGATCAAAAACCCCCAAAGAGCCGCCAGGCTCCAAGTTCTTCATTCGTGCGATGTCACTTTTGCCTGATCCGTCGTTGTTGTGGAAGGACAGCCTTCTTGCAATCGAGGTTCTGGCCCTAGCCGGTCTGTACTTATACTCAATTTATCAAAGAGAGTCAGCACAGCTATATGTATGTAAACAGCTTCCTCGACGAGACTGAGCTGACGTTCATTCCCACATTCGAGGTTGCCCAGGCAATACGGATAGCCCAGTTGGAAGGCCTCCACACCCAGCTGCCTGAAGAAGCCTTGGGATCTGACACAGTAGCCCGCTGTCGAAAGCTGTGGTGGACTCTTTACATCATGGACCGCCACTTTTCATGCTCATTGGGCGTTCCGATGAATACTCAGGATATTGACATTACAACTCTGCTCGATCCGCCCAGCATGGCATCACCTCAGGACACAACTCTGGGTTTGAGAGTAAAGCTATCTCATCTGCTGTCCTCCATCATCAACAGTTAGTCAATATGCAGCCAGTATCATCTGCAGAGTTTTTTCACGGCTAATGGCTTATTTAGCCGTTTACAAATCTGAAAAGACGCCGTTAGGCAAGTTCCTTGAGGAAACAAAGTCAATTCTACACACTCTGGCAGGACATGCCCAGGAGATCGAAAAGATCACTCGTGTCAAATTCCAAAACTCGGTGGACACAATGCCAAAAGGAACGAGAGATATTACTCTTCTATATCATCAAGTGCAGTCGCTCCAATCCCAACCTGGTGGTTTCGCTGCTAACATCCAATTCCCAGTGCGTGGTTATCGCCACACGGCCACTACTTCTGTCAGCGCTCAAACAACAACTCGACCATTTTGGCCGAGGACTACCGGACATGGAGGGCTTCATGGCTCCGCTTATCCCGTTGATGTCAACAGGAATCAAGTCTGCAGTTAAGACACTCCAGATCCTCTCCGGAGAGGACACTCTAATTGGTAAGCGTTTCCAGGCGACTTCTTGAAATCGCATCAGACTTACCAGACAATAGAAGTCTTCCTTCCTTTCGATCTTGAGTACGCATACGGTGCGGCGATTCATCTCACCATTGCAAATGCCTTATTTCCGTCTACAACCGAAATAGACGGGCCAGCACACGGCAGAGAAGCACATGCAATCTTGGATGACATGATCCACAAGGGCAACTCCGTGGCTGAAGTACGCAAAGCTGAGTTGACTCACCTGGAATTTCTTTTCAATGAATTTGCCATGCGGGTTAATCAGCCTGACGTTCAACCCTCGAGGCCGCTTGTACGATCGCTTCAACTGCGGCCATTCCCAAGTATCTGGGAGTCTTCAACCGCGGGACCTGATTTGGCTTCCATTACTACGCTCAGCGAACCTCAGCCCCTAGTCTGCGCACCAGAAACACCAAATAACGCCGAGTTTCTTGATAGTATCGGAATATCATCTGATGACTTCTTGTCCATTGTGGAGCAGATGGGTAATCACGACGATGCGGATCTACCCTTTGCCATGCTGGATCTGTCTCAATTCTGGAAGTAGCCCGGAATAATAGACTTATAGAGGCCTTTTGCCCGATATTTGTGGAAGTTTGCAGCGTAATTCGGATGAAACCATGGCTTGAATGTGACTTGACTCTTGTCCTGACTGCGTTTTGCTCTGGTTTCGGTACATGGTGGCCATGCCCTTGTCCTTCTGGTCGTTTCGATTCTGATCGCGATTTCCGCCATCCAATGCATCCATACATGAAGGACGAAGGACTTTTTACGGCCGACCAAATGTCATCAGCGAGGATCACGAGTAATATGACTGTCTTTAAAGTGTATTTTACTGCCTAGTATTAGCGAACTTCTAGTGTACAAGCAGCTCTCATTTTCTCGTCTATTCATGCTTTCCGTCACATTAGGATCCATGCTTTCGTTTGCAACGTATCGTACATAATGCCATAGTTCCGCCTCTCGTTCCTCTTAGCTGTATTAGAAGCAAGTATGGCTCCTTCGCATAGTTCTCCTACCACCCAGTATGGTAATACGGGTCCCAGCTCTGATGTCTTTGTGCATTTGTTGTGTGTTGCTGTTGAAATGGTTGATAGTTCGGGTCGTGCCATGCCATTTGAGTCGAAGGTGTTGATGCTGGTGGAGAAGCGAGTGTTGTAGCCGATGAGGCATTTGTCGAAGTTTGTTTGAGATCGTACATCGTCGCTTGGCTGTAGACTGAGGCATGTCGCATATCGTAGGTCGAGTCCCTATGAAGTAGAGGTCTCTCCTGACTTGGGTCAACCTGGACAGTGTTTCCGACAAGCGAAGCGTGATAATCTGAGGGCATATGCCCTGACAAACTGTCTTCCAGGCCAACTGCAATAACATCAGCATCCGATGGTTCCTCAAATCAATAGGTGAGTACTTACAAGCTAAGATGTAGAACAGCTCTGCAACGACTGGAACCCAGGCGGCCAAGGCAAGTACCTGACCAAATGTCCACTTATCGTTCTTGTCGAGACCACCCGCCGCATCAATAATCTTCTGTCTGAAGTGCGTGAAGTAGGCTAGAATGCCCCACATGAGAAAGAGGTTGATCCACGCAATCAGAAGGCGCCAAATTGACCTCCATGTCTTGACCCAGGGCTTGTCGACCAAGCCAGGGATCTTGAAACCTGTGGTCAGAAATATGGTGATGATGAGCCAGAGTAGAGGCAGCCCTATGACAAGGAATTGGGTCGCCTTGACAACGTGCCAGTATTGTGAGCCGCGCTGGTCGCAGTCAAAGTTCGCATGGCCACTCTTGCGCTCTGCATAGTCTACCTCGGCTCTCGGCGCCATGTAGACTACAGATGCGCTCAGGCCCCAAAGAATGAACAACACAGCGCGATGAAGCCACTTCCGATGGCCATCATGCTTTACTAAAGCATAGAGTAGCATGACCGGGAATACCGAGAAGTTGGAGGCAATTAGAGAGAGCGCCATCTCATAGACGGCTTCGCCTGAAGGCAGATCCGGATTGACCTTTTCTCTCTCCTCTTTGTTGGTGATGCTGGAATACAGCGCCGCCCCCAGCATGGCGACAGCAATCAGCATAGCGCCGCTAAGGAACATGTCCAAGGAGCCGCGGAAAGAGTCAAGGATTCGCTCGCTGATAGTCTGTGGTTGGCCAGCTTGTCTCTTCTTCTTGTACGTATTTCTGTTGAAGCATCGGATCGACTGATGAACGGTGAAGGCAACAAGATATATCGTCCCGAGAAGAGCTTCGAGGAAGTAGGACACCACTACCTGCAAACACATCAGCCCAAGCTGAATACCAACGCACATTAGAGACACCTACGCCAATGCCACATAGATCCTGGCTTCCTGTGTATCCGACAGCTTTGCAGAACTCGGCCTCGCACTTTTCTTTCGGGCCCCAAAGGATGGTATCGTTGAATCGCTGGCTAAACTGATAATATTTGGGGGAGGTGGCATTGGGAATAGGAGTGTGCATCATGTTGTAGGCGAAGAAAGAAGATACGTCTGCGTACCATGTAGTCAGACTGGTATAGTTACTGGAACTTTCGGGGATGGAGTTGAGAAAGAGTATCATCGAGAGTTCCATGCTCATTCCGCGTGTCGAACTTGGGTCCCAAGGGTCAGGTTGCACCAATGCTCCAAGCCATTGACCCCATGCTATTGTCGTTGTGAGCTACATCACCGCGATGATAGCTTGTAGAGATTAGGTGGATACCTACCAGTGCAGTTGTTATGGAAGTTTAGCTGGTCCCAGGTCAAGTTACCTGGAACCCAAAGGTCTTGATCAATGTTGGCCATGGTGGGGATCCTCTGCACGATGCCCTTCTGGCTGGCCCTCTGCCAAGTTATGGTCGTGTGATCACCCTTGAGATGCAGTCTGCCAGGGTATAAGCTTTCGATTCGAGGGGAAAAGCTGGGCAGGGGCATCTGCCGGGAGGGGGAAGACAGACATGCTTATATCTAAGCTCTCCGCGAGATCGACACCATGTCAGGTCGCAACATTCCGGACGCAAATAATCTCCGGCATACAGCCGCAGACTTTCTGTCCTTTCACAGCTCAGATCATCTGAAAGACCCCTCATAGCTTCCGGCCGGGATGAGGTAGCTGAACAGCTGGGGCTGACAGCTAAGACAAAAAGGGAGCAAAAATCGAGCCTAACTCTCGTGGTGAGATTAGCTAGCGTAAACCACAGTCCCCCAACTGAATTACGAGTTCCGCAGTTGCACAAGGCTGGCCATTCACAGCATTCTGATTCCGCCAAACTCGCTTGGAAATTTTGCGCTGCTCGCGCTAGCGGCTTTGGGCCGCGCAGCTGGCCGTTGGGGCTGGCAATTCGACGGTGCCGGCGGTTAATGGCGCTCGTTCTCCGTGCGGGAAGGTTGGGTGTTGCTGACGGCATGGAGTGGATTCGAGTCACAGTACTTTGGAGGGTCAAAGGTTTATGCCTGGCATTCCGTTTCATTAAGTCTGACTCTACTAGCCCAAGGGCTGATTGCGATGCTGTGTGCGGACGTGCCTATCGCGATTGTATTTCCTGGGAAACCCACGTTCTTTCCCTTCCGAGTACTTGCAGCCATTGTGAGGGCAGAAGTAAGGTGAGAAACCCTCCACGCTTTCAGGATGTCTGTCCTCCCGATGGCGGCGTAGATCCTTCCTGTAAACAAACGTTGAAGAGCAACCCTCTTCTGTGCACTTGAATTGTCTGGCGTGTTTCGTGATGCATCGGCTTCAATCAAAATTAAATCACTCCTTGGATAATTTCGGAAGGGACCTACTTGAGAAGGTATCGCTTCTGGTGAACACGTTGACATTGATCGCATCGCCAAGGGCCAGACTCTCCATCATGGACCCCGATGGCTTCCTCAGCGGACGCATCGTCCTGATAGTCGTTATTACCAGGATATTGGTGTGTTTCTGGTAAGGACTGTTGAGGAATAAAATTCCTCTCGACTTCCGTTCTATTTTGCCCATGATTCTCCTGCTCCCCATCGATATGCCCAGCAGGCTGGAGAAAGCTAGGCGCAGTACTCCAATCATATTCTTCGAGTGGCCCTCCACTACCGGTCTGGACCCACAGAGGATCAACGGTTTCGAGAGACTGATGATGATGATGATAAAAGAACCCTAGACCAGTCGAGCCTGAGGGGTCTGAACTTGAGATTAAGGCCTACCCAAGAAAGAGTTGAAGGAGTGGTAAGCCTGCTAGATGGTGATGGCAAGAACAAGAGTTCAAGGGCTAAGCTTCAAAGCAAAAAAAAGAGTGATCTGGTCGGCAACGAAGGTTGTGGAAAGGAGTGACAGGCTTCGCACAACATGTGCCGGCCGTGGGGAAGGGAGAGAAATCCGGGAAATGAGCACGTTGGTTTGGGGAGGTATTTATTGCCGGGGACATTCTGAGCAAGATGGCAAGCGTCCAGTATGATTGGACGCGTGGAATGATAGGCCTCAACTCTATCTTCTCGATTACCATGGCACATGTGTCTTCATGTGTTGTGAAATTTCATTTCTTGTAGGCCTCATCTGATGTGCGATGCCCAATGACAACAGAGATGGCAGTGGTTTCGTGGTGTCTGTGGCCAGGTCCTGACAGACCGAGTAATTTCAAATGCTGTTTTCATGAATTCGTATTAAATGGCATTGGAGGGATTCCGCTTTCGTTTCCTTCCACAATCCAGCAAGTCTCTCCGAACTATTTTATTTCTGTGCCTGAACGTCAATCAAGTCGACGCCATGTCTGCACTACTTTGCTGCGAGTCCCTCAGGCCTTACAAGGCTCTGCGTACCGATCATGAGGTTAGGTTCATTCAGTTCATGGCCTGGGCCAACGACGGCCAGCCGACAGTCATAGAAGAAACTTCGAAGATCGATAGTTCCAACCGGACTCCTCTCTATGCAATCCAGCTGATGCGTCAAGTCAACTGTGGGCCGCTAGAGAGCAAGCGATACTTTGTCAACTTTGCGGATCGCACCCATTCATATGTCGAGGCTGCTGAAGACTTCTTGATCCAATGCAACTTCCAGAAGGTCAATTCGTATGGAACCTCTCTTCCTTCCTCCCTCCACGGCGAATCCTTCTCGCATTGGACGGTACTGGACTTCAGAGAATGCGCCTGCTGACCCGTCTCCTTCAGGTTCAAGAACTTCAAATGTGACATACACGATAGGTTCTTCGAGATCAACCTGTATCAGAAGGACCCCATCAACAAGCACCATTGGAGGGCTAATCTGGCCCGGCCGGCCAGCAATATCGACCTCTGAGACTTGGGCGAGGTTTTTGAGCGTATCTTAACGAGTATTACTAGGCGTCAGTAACGTCTGGAAGTTTACGTTGCTGTGGTTTTCCTGGTCACGCTGGTCTAGCACATGTGCCACGGTCTAACCAGGGCAAACAAGAGTCGATCGCTTTACTGACGCCAAGTGCATCTCGATGGGGTACGCCCTATGTGGCGATCCGGCTGTCATAAGCTTAAAATTGGAAATATTTGCTCTTCGACCTCTGCGCATACATTGGGGCCGTGTGAAATCCTTTCGTTGCCATTTCT